CATAGTTCCCCCATGCTGGCTCAGGAATTCTGGGAGTTGAAGTCCACCAGTCATGAAGGGGCCATAGTTCCCCCATGCTGGCTCAGGAATTCTGGGAGTTGAAGTCCACCAGTCATGAAGGGGCCATAGTTCCCCCATGCTGGCTCAGGAATTCTGGGAGTTGAAGTCTACCCATCTCCGAGTGGCCAAGGTTGAGAAATACAGGCCTAGGCCAGGGATAGGCAACCTGGGCTCTTTTATGACTCGTGGACTTCAACTCCCAGAATTCCTGAGCCAGCCACGCTGAGGGGAAAGGGGGAGGTTGCCAAGCTGAGCCATGCTGGCTCAGGAATTCTGGGAGTTGAAGTCCACGAGTCATAAAAGAGCCGAGGTTGCCTACCCCTGCCTTAGCCCATCAGGACATACATGTACTCCCCAGCTAAGAATCCAACACTAGACTGCAAACCTCTGGCCCATCCCCAGATGGCCCCGGACAGACCCCAATCTCTCTGGACTGCCACCTAGTGGTGCTTCCAGATTTTGCAGCCGGGATCCAGCAGCCCACAGACGGCCCAACTTTTGCAAGCCACTCCAGCTGGCTGGACAGATCCCAGCGTTCCTTGTTCCTTCCTTTTGCCGAACTCTCATCCTTTGTACTACAAATTGATTTCTCAGATGCTTTTGTGAAGGCTGCAAAAGGGGCCCCTCCTGGAGCTATTTGAGTTTCCATGGTAACTAATGGATATTTGCCCCACCACCACCACCACCACCACAGAAAAGGGGGGTTGTGGGAGGAGAAGGAAAATTGCTGATTTTATTTTTTGAGAAAGAGAGAGAAAGAGAGAGAAGGGGAGGGGAGAGAGAGAGAGAGAGAGAGAGAGAGAGAGAGAGAGGGAGGGAGGGAGGGAAAAGACATGAATAAAATCTAAGCAATCATGCAAGTGGAAGAGAATTGGGGGGCATCTCATTTGGGTCCTAGAAAGGGGGTGTTGAGAGGGAGAATCAGGGCTTGGGAACAGTCCCTGAGCTGACACAATAAACCATCTTCTGCTTCGCCTTTGCCCACACGCTTAAACCATCATTCTCACCTTGTGGCAAGTGAGAAATCTGGCATGGTGGTGTGGGAAGTCAGCTCCCCCAGAGAAGGAAATACTAATATCTCACTTAACGACAGAAACTTTGGGCTCAATTGCAGTCGTAAGTCGAGGGCTACCTGTAATGGGGTGTGCCGGGGACCTTGTCCTTTCCCTCCGCTGGGCCAGCCCCCCCCCCCGAGACTTGACCCTCTCTGCTTGTCCCCAGACTCCCTGCCGGCTGACCCCTTGCCGGACCAGTCCGATTCCTGGCTGCAACTTGTGGACCGGTTGAATATCAAAGCCTTCGTCAACCTGACNGGTCATGGGATGAAAATTCAGATACTTGACAACTGACTCATATTTATGACGGTTGCAGTGTCCCAGGGTCATGCAACTCCCTTTTGCGACCTTCTGACAAGCAAAGTCCATGGGGAAGCCAGATTCACTTAACAACTGGGTTGTTAACTTAACAACCGCAGGGAGTCACGTCACAGCTGTGTCAAGAAAGGTCTTAAAATGGGGCGAAAACTCACTTCACAAATGTCTCACTTAGCAACAGAAAATTTGGGCTAAACTGTGGTCGTAAGTCGAGGACCAGCTGTAACTGTTTATTTGTTGGGGTGAACTCAGTCTGTTGGCTTGGCTTATGGGGGCCTGTGTGAACCCCAAAAAGGGGCCGAAACTTGGTGAGACGTGAGGTAATCCCCGACTTAACAGCAGTTCGTTTAGCAAAATCTAGGATCGCGTGACCCCAAAGGACACTGCGACCGCCATAAATATGAACCAGTGGCCAAGCATCCGAATTTTGATCCCGTGACCCTGGGGGTGCTGCAGCGGTCCCTAGTCTGAAAAACATAAGTCACTTTTTTTAGCGCCGTTGTAACTTTCATAAGTCAAGGACTATCTTTGCTCTTGCAAAAATGTGTCTTGAAGTCTCTCCTGAAATTGTTAATAAAACATGGTTTCTTGGAACTTGACTGGGATTCTTCTGCCTGTTAAAATAGTACAGCAATGCCTGTCCTTCAAGGACACTGGGACCACAGCTCCCATCATCCCCAGCCTGGGTGGTGGTTGGGGTTGAGTCAGTGTTTCTCAGCTTATGGGAACTTTTAGACATCTGGACTTCAACTCCCAGAATTCCCCAGCCAGCCATGGGGGTCTTAAAATTCCAGATGTTGAGAAATACTGATCTAGAGCAGAGGCCCCCAACCTTTTGGGCACCAGGGACTGGTTACTTGGAGAGAGGGTTTTCCACGGACCGGTTTTGTGTGCTGCCTGCATCCCGCAGATGCGGCTTTGCTTGTTTGTGCGGACCGGTTGCTGGCATGCCGCGGCCCGGTACTGGTCTACGGACCAGGGGTTGGGGATCCCTGATCTAAAGGAAAAGATTCCTGAGCAAACTCGGGATTTGCCCCTTTTTGTTCCCTCTTAACTCTCGTGCTTCTTTCGCACCCAGGTCCGCAAGTACCTGCTGCTGTTGGACAGCCGCAAAGAACATGTCAAATTTTGGCGCCCCCAAGTGCTGCTGATGGTGCGGAATCCGCGGACCTCCCTCCAGCTCATTCGCTTCATCAACGACCTCAAGAAAAGTGGCCTGTACGTGCTCGGCCACGTAGAGCTGGCGGATCTGGGTAAGGAGATGGTAGGAGGCAGAGGTTCCATGAGGTCTCCTTAAAGATTGGACCAGTGTTTCTCAACCTGAGCAATTTTATGAGGTATGGACTTCAACTCCCAGAATTCCCTAGTCAGGGAGAGGTTTCCAAGCTGAGCCATGCTGGATAAGGAATTATGGGAGTTGAAGTCCACAAGTCATGAAGGGGCCATAGTTCCCCCACGCTGGCTGAGGAATTCTGGGAGTTGAAGTCTACCCATCTCCGAGTGGCCAAGGTTGAGAAATACAGGCCTAGGCCGGGGGTAGGGCAACCTTGGCTCTTTTATGACTCGTGGACTTCAACTCCCAGAATTCCTGAGCCAGCCATGCTGAGGGGAAAGGGAGAGGTTGCCAAGCTGAGCCATGCTGGCTCAGGAATTCTGGGAGTTGAAGTCTACGAGTCATGAAGGGGCCATAGTTCCTCCATGCTGGCTGAGGAATTCTGGGAGTTGGAGTCCACGAGTCATGAAGGGGCCATAATTCCCCCCTATTGGCTCAGGAATTCTGGGAGTTGAAGTCCACGAGTCATGAAGGGGCCATAGTTCCCCCATGCTGGCTCGGGAATTCTGGGAGTTGAAGTCCACGAGTCATGANCCCCCCCCCCCGAGACTTGACCCTCTCTGCTTGTCCCCAGACTCCCTGCCGGCTGACCCCTTGCCGGACCAGTCCGATTCCTGGCTGCAACTTGTGGACCGGTTGAATATCAAAGCCTTCGTCAACCTGACGCTCGCCAGCTCCGTGCGGAATGGCACGCAACAGCTGCTCTTCATCTCCGGACTGGGTAGGTGACCTTGGGTTTCCAGGTGGTCCCCTTTCCGCCAGCTTCAGCTGCCAAAAAAAAAACCACGGCCTCTAAATTCCCGTTGAGCAAGTTAAATCCATTCTGTGAGGGCAGATTTTAAGAGAAGATAGCCTTTATTGTCACTTTTTTTTTTTCACTGTGGGCACACGTTAAAAATGAAATTCTGTGGCCTGCTCTCAAAGTGCACGCATACCTAACACGCATATTAAACAGAATGTTGGAAGGGACCTTGGAGGTCATCTAGTCCAGCCCCCTGCTCAGGCAGGAAACCCTATACCATTTCAGACAAATGGCTGTCCAGTCTCTTCTTAAAAACCTCCAGTGTTGGAGCATTCACTGTTTCTGGAGACAGGTTGTTCCACTGGTTAATTGTTCTAACTATCAGGAAATTTCTCCTTAGTTCTAGGTTGCTTCTCTCCTTGATTACCTTCCATCCTTTGCTTCTTGTCCGGCCTCCAGGCGCTTTGGAGAATAGCTTGACCCCAATTTTCAGAAAGTTGAGTTGGTTTTTTGCCTCGTCAGACATGGAACAACCTGCCTCCAGAAGCGGTGAATGCTCCAACACTGGAAGTTTTTAAGAAGAGACTGGACAGCCATTTGTCTGAAATGGTACACGGTTTCCTACCTGAGCAGGGGGTTGGACTAGATAACCTCCAAGGTCCCTTCCAACTTTGTTGTTGTTGTTGTTGTTATTATTATTATTATTATTATTATTAGTAGTAGTAGTAGTAGTAGTAGTAGTAGTAGTATTCATTTAGTGACCGTTCAAAGTTACAAGGGCGCTGATAGAAGTGAGCTGTGACTATTTTTCACACTTAACGACTGTTGCAGCTTTCCCTCAGGGTCACGTGATCAAAATTCAAGACGCTTGCCGACTGGCTCACATTTACGACGGTCGCAGTGTTCCCCCGGGGTGTCACGCGATCCCCTTTTGCGACCTTCTGGCAAGCAAAGTCCATGAGGAAGCCAGATTCACTTAAGAACCGTGTGACTCACTTAACAACTGCAGGGATTCACTTAACAACGGTGGCCAGAAAGGTCGTAAAATGAGGCAATTCTCACTTAAGTGCCTTGCTTAGTGATAGAAATTTTTACAGTCTCCATTACGGTCATAAGTTGAAGACTCCCTGTACGAAGGATTTTTTTGGCTAATGTATATATAGATTAATTAACCCATAGGGTGTGGCTACAATATTTTATTTATCCCCTTTATTAATTTTTGACTTCCCCTTTTTATTTGGCTGTGCACTTTAGCATTATTATTATTATTATATTCTGTTGTTTTGCAAGTACACTGGATGCTTTTGTACTGGAGACAAATTCCTTGTGGGTCTAGCCACATTTGGCCAAATAAATTAAGCATCATAAGAAGTATAAGCATATAAGAAGTATAAGAAGTATAAAAATATAAAAGTATAAGGAACGTAAAATTATAAGTACAGGTAGTGAATCTTGCAGTTGTTAAGTGAATAACACAGTTCTTAAGTGAATCCGACAAACTTTGCTTGTCAGAAGGTCGCAAAACGTGACCCAGGACGTTGCGACCGTCATAAAGATGAGTCCGTTGCCAAGGATACAAATTCTGATCACATGACCCTGGGGGAGAGGCTGACCCGGTTTGTAAGTGTAAAAAAGGTCATAAGCCCCTTTTTTTTAGTGTCATCATAACTTCGAACCGTCCCTAAATGAGCCGTCGTAAGTCGAGGACTACCTGTCTAAGAAATGTAAGTACAAAAAAAAAATAAGCATAAAATTATAAGAAGTATAAGAAGCGCAAATAATTCATAGAATTGTATATTGCAAGTACTGTAAATACCAAATCCAGCTCTCAGCCTGTCTTCTCCTCCTCCAGGAGGCATGCGGCCCAACACCATCGCGCTGGGCTTCTACGACAACGCGGACCCCCAGGACTACATGTCCCAACCCACCGCCTTCAGCCGAGACGAGGCAATTTGGCACGAGTTCCCTCCCGTCTGGACTTCCGGGGGCCCCAAGCAGCTGTCTCCTTGGGAGTACGTGGCCATCATCTGCGACGCCATGAAGATGTCGCGCAACGTCCTTCTGGCCCGCTCCTTTGACCAGCTCCAGCCGCCCCAGGCCCTCGGCTGGCGAGCCCAGCCTCTGATCGACGTCTGGCCCGTCAACCTGTGGCGCCCCGACAGCGCCCGATACGTCGACACCAGCAGCCTCTTCTTGCTACAGATGGCCTGCGTCCTGGCCATGACGCGGTCGTGGCGACGGGCTCGCTTGCGCCTCTTCCTCTGCGTGGAGAGCTGCACCAGCCCCCAGGGCCAGGAGGACAAGCTGCGGCAGCTGCTGAAGGACCTGCGCATCCAGGCCAAGGTCCAGATCGTGCCGTGGGACGAGGTGGTGGCGCTCCACTGGCACAGCCATCGCGGAGACTCGGCCGACGGTGGCCTGAACGCCTACAGCAACATCACCTCCATCTCAGACGAATACTTGACTGCGGTGAACCAGCTCATTCTCCAACAGAGCACCAGCCCGACCGTCCGTTTCCTTTACCTGCCCCGTCCTCCTGCCGACACCAATTTGTACCCCAGATACTTGCAACAGCTGGAGATCCTGACCCACGGACTGGGCCCCACGCTGCTGGTGCACGGGGTGAGTGCCGTTACGAGCACTCAGCTGTGAACCAGAGTTGTCTGTTGTCCACTCTGGGCAAGGGTGGGTTGATGGAACCCCAAGCCAAGGGGGCCCCTGAAGGATCAAGGGGAAGGCGAGCTGAAGACCAACCAGCAATACTCTGGGTTGACGTTGGGGGCTCTACGCCTCCCCAACCTTTCCTTCTCAGGCTGGGTTGTTGCGATGGCTCCCGACGCACGACGGCTACGCAGCAGGTTTGAGGCCCGGCTCGGTTGTCCTAGCCGAGAGCAAACCGCTGCCGTCGCGCCGTGTCTGTTTCTCCCAAGAGAGCTACTTTTGAACACCGAAGCGTATGAAACCGAGTCTGGGTCCTCCATCTGGGGAGTCTGACAGCCAGAAGGTGCTTTGAAAAACTCTGTGACGGCTGCCTTTCTTTGGACACGTGGAGGCGTAAAGATGGGGACAGAATTAAAGGTGGCATTGTTGTGTTTAAAGCTGTGGTGAATGCATGGGACGTGGTCCTTGTTAACAATAAGGATGAGGATCTGAATCAGGGGTCTTCAAACTTGGCCCTTTTATGACTTGTGGACTTCAACTCCAAGAATTCCTCAGCCAGGCACGCGTGCCTGGCTGAGGAATTCTGGGAGTTGAAGTCCACAAGACATAAAAGGGCCAAGTTTGAAGACCCCTGATCTAAAGCAGGGCTTTTCAACCAGTGGTAGGGGTACCCCCTGTGGTACATGGGCACCTGGCAGGTGGTACGCGACCATCCTAGAAAAGTGGTAGCGGGGGAGGGGAATCAGCTGAACCGGTGGCAGCACCGCACAAGCCTGAGCGAGAGATGGCTGGAGATGCAGGGCTGTCAGGTCTCAGCGGAAGCGCCAGGATCAGTGCCAGGCTCCAGCTGGAGCTCGGCGCTGATCCTGGCGCTTCTGCTGAGCCCAGAAGAAGCGCCGATCAGCTGGAATGTTGCGGCATCTCCAGGGTCTTGTGATTTACATTCAGATGCTTGGCAACTGATTCATATTTATGACGGTCACAGTGTCCCAGGGTCATGTGAAGGGACCAAAACCTGCTGCAACCACCCAGCAGACGGGGGAATAAAAACCAAACACTCCCCCACTCCACCCCCACTGCCAATCCCAACAGAAATGCTAACAATGGAAACCTCGGACAGGAGGAAGAGCGCGGCCAGGCGGGCAGGCAGGTGTCTTGCTCGGCTGTGTCTTGGGGGCCACTTTTTTCAGTGCCATTGTAACTTCAGTCACTAAGCAAACTGTTGTAAGTCGAGGACTACTTGTACTTTATCACTTTTTTCCTTTTTTGGGGAGGGGTCATCAGGTTTTTAACACCTTGCTAGGCGGCTGGTGGTACTCGGATATTGCTATATCCTAAAAGTGGTACAGTGGGTGAAAAGATTGAAAAGCCCTGATCTAAAGGATCCATTTTAGAACTATGGGATTGCAGGAAAGTTAGAAGGTATAGAATTAAGCTTAAATGGGGAATTTAGAGTTTTAGACCAGAGGTCTGTAACCTTGGAGTCCAGAAATGGTCCATGCTGGCAGAGGAATTCTGGGAGTTTGGGAGTCCAGAAGCAACCTAGAACTAAGGAGAAACTTCCTGACAGTGAGAACAATTCACCAGTGGAACCACCTGCCTCCAGAAGCGGTGAATGCTCCAACACTGGAAGTTTTTAAGAAGAGACTGGACAGCCATTTGTCTGAAGTGGTGCAGGGTTTCCTGCCTGAGCAGGGGGTTGGACTAGATGACCACCAAGGTCCCTTCCAACTTTATTATTATTATTATTATTAATCTTAAAAGTTGCCAAGTTTGGAGACCCCTTATCTAAAGGGTCCATCATCAACAACTCATTCTTACCAAAGAGCGAAAAACCCATCCCTGAGCTTTGGCGTGTAACAAATGCTGCTTGTGGTGTAACAAACACAATTGCCACCTGTTTTTGCGCGATGGATTCCAGTCTCAGCCAATGTGTTGTTTTGAGTATTGGATCCATTTCATCGGAGTAAGAGGTGGAGAAAAAAAATAGGTAATCACGCTCGACTCTTCCATTCGGTGACCTTGCTCACTCTATACAGGTAACTAGGTTAGTGGGGCTGGGCTAATGAGTTGTAGAGACTCATAAATCAGCTGGGATGACTCATTATTATTTTTTGCCCAGTTAGTCCTCCAAGAAAAAGAGACGGAAAGGCAGAGTGTCTGGAACAGCATTGTCCTACCACAGATGAACTGCAATGGCCCAACTGCTCTGCAGCAACTTGATGCCTGTCTATCCGTGGTGGTTGAGGAATTCTGGGAGTTCAAGTCCACAAGTCATAAAGGGGGCCATAGAACGCTCCAACACTGGAAGTTTTTAAGAAGAGACTGGGCAGCCATTTGTCCGAAATGGTATAGGGTTTCCTGCCTGAGCAGGGGGTTGGACTGGATGACCTCCAAGGTCCCTTCCAGCTCTGTTATCATGATAGCAGTGTTTCAGTATCTGAGGGGCTGCCACAAGGCAGAGGGGGTCAGGTTGTTCACCAAAGCACCAGAGGGAAGAATGAGAAACAATGGTTGGAAACTGACCAAAGAGAGAAGCAACCTGGAATTAAGGAGAAACTTCCTGACAGTGAGGACAATCAACCAGTGGAACAGCTTGCCACCAGAAATCGTGGGCGCTCCATCACTGGAGATTTTTAAGAAGAGACTAGACAACCACCTGTCTGAGGTGGTATAGGTTCTTCTGCTTGAGCAGGGGGCTGGACTAGATGACCTCCAAGGTACCTTCCAGCTTCTATTCTATTCTATTCTATTCTCTCTTCTCTTCCAGTCCAGTCTCCTATTCTGTTCTATTCTGTTCTATTCTATTCTATTCTATTCTATTCTATTCTATTCTCCCCACCATGACCAACATTAGGCACAGCAGTCCGTCTGTAAAATTAATAGCAACCGTACATTTTTGCACTGGAGCCAAAATAATTCTCTTGGTTCCCTTTCCCTGGCGTAAGGGAAGTTGGTGCTTCCGTGTGCGTGGGAAGGAAGGAATGTCTGGATTTCCTAGCAACGACAAGGGATCCGTTGCGCTGGAAAAGTACTTTAGCAACTGGGCCCCATGTGCAAGGTTTGAATTGCAGCCTCTTGTAGATCTGGCAGAGGCTTTGGGTGGCCCATCTCAGCTGAGGGATGGGTGGGTGGCTGTCTGGAAATGCAAAACCACAACTGCAGAATTGATGGAGACCTTATGCTCAACCAGTGGCTGGTTCCCCCTTTGCAACCATGTGGGGTGTGGAGTTCCCCTTAATTTAGAAGGGAGCCACAGAGAGGGCTGGATTTAGCCACACGGGCCTGAGCCCTCCCAGCCACAGATTTGTTTGTAGAGAGTCTCTTTCTGACCCCCCAGGAGGGGATCTCAAGTACCTTCTTTAACAGTAACAATAATAGAGTGGGAAGGGATCTTGGAGGTCATCTAGTCCAACCCCCTGCTCCTGCAGGAGATGTTTACGATTTCTGACAGATAGCTATCCAGTCTCTTCTTAAAAGCCTCCTGGTGTTGGAGCACCCACAATTTCCGAAGGCAAGTTGTTCCACCGGTTAATTGTCCTCACTGTCAGGAAATTCCTCCTTAGTTCTAGGTTGCTTCTCTTCTTGATTAGTTTCCATCCGTTGCTTCTTGTCCTGCCTTCAGGGGCTTTGGAGAAGAGCTTGACTCCCTCTTCTCTGGGGCTGGAAGGCTGCTATCATGTCCCCCCTCGTCCTTCTCTTCATTAAACTAGACATTCCCAATTCCAGCAACCGTTCCTTATATATTTTAGCCTCCAGTCCCCTGATCATCTTTGTTGCTCTTCTCTGCACTCTTTCTAGAGTCTCAACATCTTTTTTACATCGTGGTGACCAAAACTGGATGCAGTATTCCAAGTGTGGCCTTACCAAGGCCTTGTAAAGTGGTATTAATACTTCACGTGATCTTGATTCTATCCCTCTGTTGATGCAGCCCAGCACTGTGTTGGCTTTTTTGGCAGCTGCAGCACACGGCTGGCTCCTATTTAAGTGATTGTCCATGGACTCTGAGATCAGATAATCTTGATTCCATCCCTCTATTAAGCTTCAAAAGAAGCCTCTCCTTGTTTTTGCATCTCTCATAGCGAGGCTGGGAGCCAATTCAGACAACCGCTCCGGATCTCTTGTTCAAAACCGGGACAACTGTCAATCATGGAGCCGTGGTGACGATAAAAATACTTCTCTAAAATGCCACCACTGGAGAGGGAAAAGATGGGAAGGAAGGCAAGATCTTGGGTCAGCCAAGCTAACAAGTCCTCCTTTTCATTGGGGGGGGGAAGGCTGAATGTCTACCTGTCTGTCCATCCACAGTACACGTTGCAACGTTCTGTGTTAAACCCCGCATACACACACACCTTCAACAACAGGAGAAATACCACAGTTGTTACTGATTTCTGTTTACAGATCTGCTTTGATGGGGTGACCCAGTTGGAGCCTCTCAAATACAAGAGAGAGAGGCAGGCAGATACATACATTAACATACATTCACGCACGCATGCATGCATGCAGGTATATATATATATACATACAGATCCAGTGGAGTCAAATAGTTAAGGTACACAGCTATATATGAGGAGTCTATGACATTATGCCTTCAGAAGGTAATCATTTTGGGGCACGCTATCTATCTAGTCCAGGGGTAGGCAACCTTGGCTCTTTTATGACTCGTGGACTTCAACTCCCAGAATTCCTGAGCCAGCGTGGGGGAACTGTGGCCCCTTCGTGACTCGACTTCAACTCCCAGAATTCCTGAGCCAGCATGGGGGAACTATGGCCCCCTCATGACTCGTGGACTTCAACTCCCAGAATTCCTGAGCCAGCATGGGGGAACTATGGCCCCTTCATGACTGGTGGACTTCAACTCCCAGAATTCCTGAGCCAGCGTGGGGGAACTATGGCCCCCTCATGACTCGTGGACTCCAACTCCCAGAATTCCTGAGCCAGCATGGCTCAGCTTGGAAACCTCTCTTTCCCCTCAGCGCGGCTGGCTCAGGAATTCTGGGAGTTGAAGTCCAAGAGTCATAAAAGAG